GTGAAGGGAACTCTTAAGGCGTCAGCATACCAAGACATTTTGGACAATTTCATGTTCCCAACTTTGTGGGAAGAGTTTTGGGATGGCCCCTTCCTGTTCCAACATGAATGAGCACCAGTGCACAAAGCAAGGTCCATAAAGACATGGAGGAGCCAGTTTGGGGTGGAGGAACTTGACTGGCCTGCACAGAGTCCTGACCTCAACCCCATAGAACACCTTTGGGATGAATTAGAACAGAGACTGTGAGCCAGGCCTCCTCCCCCGACATCAGTGCCTGACCTCACAAATGTGCTTCTGGAAGAATGGTCCAACCTTCCCATAGACACCCTCCTAAACCTTGTGGACGGCCTTCCCAGAAGAGTTGAAGCTGTTATAGCTGCAAAGGGCGGGGCCAACTCAATATTGGACCCTACAGACTAAGACTGGGAGGCCATTAAAAGGTCATGTGTGTGGAAAGGCCGGCCGACCAATACTTTTGGCAATTTAGTGTAGATAGGAAGTTCTGTTATGGGCCAGGTGGTAATCTTATTTGGGAGATTTACCTCAACTTCTAGGAAACTTGGGAGAGCCCTCAAAACTGAGTGACTCTAGAGTTTCCTAGGGGATTTGACAAGTGTGCATCTATAAGGATCTACAGTCCATACACACCCAGCACGAGGCCGGGGTCACACTACCAGATGTTTCTCGGGGATGCAGTTCCTCTGAGCTCCACAAGTTGGTGATCTAACTTCTACTTAGACAGGAAAACTCTATGGAAGACAGACAGAAAAGATATAGGTTACAGACAGGAAGTGATGTTGAGCACAGGCAGAAAGTGATGTCAGGTACAGACAGGAAGTTATGTCAGGTACAGAAAGGAAGTGGTCAGGTACAGGCAGGAAGTTCCGGGTGAGAGGTGAGTGGGGAGGGAAGTAGAGAGGAGACGTTGCTGGAAGTGGCAGCAGAGGAGGGTAATAAGATGTTATTTTCTATTTACACTCAGTAACCCCCCGTCATGTCCGTCCTCTTCCTCCATAGTCATGTCCGTTCTCTTCCTCCATAGTGATGTCTGTCCTCCACTAATGAAGGTGGGTATTCTGGGTGACATTGTTGACCAAATATAATCATTACCAGATTTAGTTAGTGACTTGACACGGGACTAGGATTGCCACCTCGTCCCTTTAAACTGAACACATATTAATGACAGGTTCTGGAGCTGATTAAGGAGGTAATTAAACGCACTTAGCGCCTTATCTGAAATAAATTAGCCTCAGAACCCGTGTAATTAATATGTGTTCAGTTTTAAAGGGATGAGGTGGCAACCCTACACGGGACTACTGCTGCCTTGCTTACATACAGAGGCTGGACAGGGATCTGTCATTTGCAACAGGAGTAGCAGCAGGGAAGCATGGTTGTTATCACTCACCCTGTCTGGTGTGGATCTATATCTCTGGGTGATGTCACTGAGGTTGGATTTACTTCATAAGATTATGTATTTTATTTTCAATTAAGGACTTTTTTCACACAATTAGTTTTTTTCCTTTTCAATTTTTTGCTATGAACGAGTAATATTTACCTGGTGGGCAGATATTTGGGGCTCCCCTTTTATCCTTAAGAGTCGTCCAGTTTCCACTAAGTGCCCATCTCAAATCCCCACATCCCTTTTGGGGGACAGGATGTCAGGATGAAGACTTTGTCCCCATCACAATGGGGATAAGGTGCCTTACGTGGAAGTGGGTGGGGGCTTTGCCATTCCGCCTTGGAAGGTACTTTCACAATGTTGAGGGCATGTAGACTGGTATGATTCGTGGGAGACACGTTTTCTACCTTTTTGCGAGAGAGGCTGCATGCATGAATAGGGTGTGCTGGTTCTATAAGTGAAAAAAAAGTAGGGCTCCCCCCCTAAAAATGTATAACCTTTTCCGTACTTGCAGCATGGATTGAAAGGAAATGGGGGGGTCAAGCACGCACCCCACTTTTAAACCATACTAGACCTAATGCCCTTAACATTGGGGGGGGGGGGTAGGGGTACATTGTAAGATGATGGAGATGAGAGCCTTATCCCTACACCTTTCCCCAAAACTGTATATGGAAGTACTTATGGACTTAACTGAATCTGGAAACCCCCTTCAGAATAAGAGGTCCTCAGATATCTGAATGAGTGGGGTGTGGGGTACATAGCACCCTGTTACGTATTTATAAAAAAAAAAGAAAATGGAAACACACACTTAATGAAAAGTCCCTGGATGTAATTTCCGATGTCAATTGAATTTTTGAGCAATGTAGATCCATGTCAATCATGATGACCCACCAACACAGTCATCTGCTGCACCCAGTGATGTTCACCTGCTGCTATTCCTGTTGAAAATGACAGATCCCTGTCTGAATTCTGCATGTAAACCAAGGGGCCGGGGATGTTGGGTGTCATAATTGACTAAATATGGTTATGACCATATCTGGTCAATGATGTCACCCAGAAACTCTTGCATGTGTGTTTACAAACTGGGGCTAGTCAGGGATCTGTCATTTGCAACATTAATAGCAGCAGGTTTGCCTAGTTTGCTCATCCTTACTTAGAACTATAGGTGAGATTAATATTTTGGTTGTGCTGAAATTTGAGCCCAATTTTCAGGATTTAAGTACTTCAGTTCTGGTTTGTTGCAGATGAGAGGGAAGACAAGTACCTGTGTCAGGAGGAGGAAAAATTACCCAGTATTAATGATCAGCAGGAAGTAGAAAATGCTTCTTGTTGGTGGTCAACTGGAAGAATAAATTCCCCGGTGGGGTAAAAGAAAAGCACTGGCAGGAAAGAGTGGGGCATTGATGATCAGTGGGGGTAAGTGAGCATTGTAGCTCACTAGGGGAGTGGAAGACCTCTGTTGGTGAAAGGGATAACCTAGGACTTTATAAGGGGAGAGACGGGCACTGGTACCCTGTGGGGGTGGGAGAGAGGGGCAGTGGAGCTTGGTAAGGCAGTGGAGCTTGGTGATGTTAGGCTGAAGGACATTGCCTATGTATACTGTTGCTGATGTTGTCCCTAAAAACCCTGCTAGTCCCGTAACACCACCTACAGCTATAAGCAGCATGAAGAGGAACCTCCCCTGCTGTATTTTTATTGTGCACATTAGTAGAGGTTCCCCATCGCTGACAAATACTCCTCTAGTACCCCCCCAAAGGTAACAATTTATACTGAAGATCTTATGGATCCCTGTCTGAATTCTGCATGTAAACCAAGGGGCCGGGGATGTTGGGTGTCATAATTGACTAAATATGGTTATGACCATATCTGGTCAATGATGTCACCCAGAAACTCTTGCATGTGTGTTTACAAACTGGGGCTAGTCAGGGATCTGTCATTTGCAACATTAATAGCAGCAGGTTTGCCTAGTTTGCTCATCCTTACTTAGAACTATAGGTGAGATTAATATTTTGGTTGTGCTGAAATTTGAGCCCAATTTTCAGGATTTAAGTACTTCAGTTCTGGTTTGTTGCAGATGAGAGGGAAGACAAGTACCTGTGTCAGGAGGAGGAAAAATTACCCAGTATTAATGATCAGCAGGAAGTAGAAAATGCTTCTTGTTGGTGGTCAACTGGAAGAATAAATTCCCCGGTGGGGTAAAAGAAAAGCACTGGCAGGAAAGAGTGGGGCATTGATGATCAGTGGGGGTAAGTGAGCATTGTAGCTCTCTGTTGGTGAAAGGGATAACCTAGGACTTTATAAGGGGGAGAGAGGGGCACTGGTACCCTGTGGGGGTGGGGGAGAGAGGGGCAGTGGAGCTTGGTAAGGCAGTGGAGCTTGGTGATGTTAGGCTGAAGGACATTGCCTATGTATACTGTTGCTGATGTTGTCCCTAAAAACCCTGCTAGTCCCGTAACACCACCTACAGCTATAAGCAGCATGAAGAGGAACCTCCCCTGCTGTATTTTTATTGTGCACATTAGTAGAGGTTCCCCATCGCTGACAAATACTCCTCTAGTACCCCCCCAAAGGTAACAATTATACTGAAGATCTTATGGATCATTCCTTGTCTGCAGATCATTGAGACATTTCTGAACAGGGAGGTATATAACAGGTTTGCCAGGGACAGGAAACATGAAAAACACAAAATAACCTTGGTCTGCATGTGCCAATTCCCACTGGGGGCAGCCCACCTATTAACCCCTTATATCCCCATACTAAAATTGTACAAACAATACAGTCCAGATAATTCTCCACTATCTGTCTACAGAGAAACCCCCATAGATCACATGACCACATCAGTGAGGATGGAGGAGGACCAGAGTCACATGACTGAGAAGATATTAAACCTGACCCTGGAGATCATCTACCTGCTGACTGGACAGGTGAGGAGGATTCTGGGAGGTCACATGACATCACTCTCATCTCTATTAATAAAACACAGACCTGACCGGAGAGGTGAGGAGGATTCTGGGAGATCACATGACATCACTCTCATCTCTATTAATAAATCACAGACCTGACCGGAGAGGTGAGGAGCATTCTGGGAGGTCACATGACATCACTCTTATCTCTATTAATAAAACACAGACCTGACCAGAGAGGTGAGGAGGATTCTGGGAGGTCACATGACATCACTCATCTCTATTAATAAAATACAGACCTGACCGGAGAGGTGAGGAGGATTCTGGGAGGTCACATGACATCACTCTTATCTCTATTAATAAAACACAGACCTGACAGGAGAGGTGAGGAGGATTCTGGGATTCTAACATGATATTCCTATTGGTTCCTCAATACAGAGATTTCCTCTTCTGAAGTCAGGTGATCATATGACCATCACAGTGCCTCCATGTGACTCCCTGACACCTGAGAGACACAACATGCAGAAGATTCTAGAAGTCACCAAGAAGATGATGGAGCTGCTGACAGGAGAGGTGAGCGGTGCCGGGAATTCTGGGACATTCTCCAGTAACAGACAAGGGATGTGTCTGGATGGTGACTGTATCATTGTGTGTGTCAGGTTCCTATAAGGTGTCAGGGTGTCACTGTCTATTTCTCCATGGAGGAGTGGGAGTATTTAGAAGGACACAAGGATCTCTACAAGGACGTCATGATGGACAATCAGCCGCCCCTCACATCACCGGGTAAGAGGAGACTTTATTGTAAAGGAGAGAGCAGTACGGAGGATCCACCTAGATCCCCCATCATCTGATAAACACATAGAAACAATGGATTCAGTCAGTGTGTGTGTTTCCTACAGATGGATCCAGTCATGGGAACCCACCAGAGAGATGTCCCCATCCTCTGTATTCCCGGGATTCCACACAGGAAGGTCACACCATCCCTCACCATCATCAGGTAGATGGATCCAGTAATGGGAACCCACCAGAGAGATGTCCCCGTCCTCTGTATTCCCGGGATTCCACACAGGAAGGTCACACCATCCCTCACCATCATCAGGTTGGTGGAGTTGAGGATCTGGAACATAAAGTGATGGAACACTCTGCCATGTGGAGACGATGTGTGGACTCTACAAGATGATATTTTCTATGTGATCTCACATCATAAATCCTTCTATGTTACAGATGTTATTTTCTGCCATTCTGTTGGTTTAGGGTGAAGATCTGATGAAGATGAAAGTTGAGGGTGAAGTAGAAGAGACGTATGTGAGGGATGATCAGCAATATACGGAGGAGGCTGGAATGATGAGGGACATTCAAAGAGGAGGACACTCCTACAGAGATCAGCACAGGTGAGACACAATATATTCTTCTGTTATCTCTGCTCTGTTACTGCACACTGATTGGTCCAGAGTAGGGCGGGAGATGAGTGATATCAGCCAATAATAGGTTTATAATAGTCACTAATACCCGTCCTGCTCATTATTTCTTCTTTTCTCTCACATAAACCCCCTTCTCTGTGCTGCAGACACAATTTATGTACTTAGACATGATTTCTGTAGATTCTGGGATTCCAGAAACCTAGACCTATGGTCACTTGTTCTCTCCAAGTCTGAACTTTGAACCTCTTCATTATCAGAGATCACATGACCCAGTGCCTAGGCTTGTGGTTGTGTGAAGAGGATGCCCCCCCCCCCCCCAGTCCCCATTGGTTCCTGTTCTACTGACAAGGCTGGGGAAATGTAGAAGTAATCTGGGGGGAGGACCAAAGGACCTTTCAATGAAGAAAGAAGAGTTCCAGCTGGCTGGGACATTCACAGAGAACATCTGCTCACTGATATCTACCAGATCCAGATGGAATCTTGAAATAAGTGAACGAACCCTCTCGTATATATCAATCATGTTTTTATATCTTTCCAGGACACTCCACCGAGAAACCCTCAAAAGATCGTCTCACTTTATCTCCCGGATGTAAAATGGAAGATGAGGAGATCACAAGAGATTGCGGAGGAGAAAAGACATTGATCTCAGCTATGGATGGTGGACTTCACAATGTGGATGGACCATCAAATCCCTTTAACTCTGAGCAACCTCGTACTGTGAGGGATGGTGCCGGAATTCAGGGGGAGGAGAAATTTTCCTGTCCTGAGTGTGGGAAGTGTTATTCACAGAAGTCCTGTCTTACCAGACATCAAAAACTTCACACGGGGGAGAATCTTTATTCTTGCCCTGACTGTGGGAAATGTTATACACAGAAATCAAACCTGGCTACACATCAAAGATCTCACACAGGAGAGAGCCCATATTCCTGCCCTAAGTGCGGGAAATGTTTTTCACAGAGGGGCAGTCTTTCCAGACATCAGAGATTGCATTCGGGTGAGAAGCCGTACGCCTGCCCTGAGTGCTGGAAAAGTTTCTCACAGAAATCAGGTCTTGTTATACATCAAAGAATTCACACGGGGGAGAAGCCGTATTCCTGTCCAATGTGTGGAAAATGTTTTTCAGAAAAAACTAGTCTTACCAAACATCAGAGATTGCACACAGGTGAGAAACCGTATTCCTGCCTCACTTGCGGAAAATGTTTTAAACAGAAATCAGAACTTGTTAAACATCAAAGATCTCATACTGGAGAGAAGCCGTATTCCTGCCTTGAGTGCGGGAAATTGTTTTCACAGAAGTCCAATCTTAATGCACATCAGAGGTTTCACACGGGTGCGAAGCCATATTCCTGTCCTGAGTGCGGGAAAAGTTTTTCATGGATGTCTCAACTTACTGAACATCAGATGTTACACGCACTTAAATAGCTATTGAGTGTGAGAAATGTTATCCTAAGCAATTAGAACTTGTCATACATCACAAATCTGGAGAGAAGCTGTATTCCTGCCCAGAGTGTGGGAAATGTTTTTCAGATAAAATCCAGTCTTGTCAAACATCAGAGTTTTGCACATAGGCAAGAAGACGTATTCCTGTCCCAAATGCGGAAAATGTTTCCCACAGAAATCAGACCTTATTAGGCCTCATGTACACATGAACTCACTAGTCGTTAAACTCCTGGCAGCAGAAAAATGCTAAACGCTGCAAAAATGTGTGTAAATGCAGTACCGCGTTTAGTGCTTTGATATTTCTTCATTTGATTGGCCAGCGTATTTTCCATTGACATGGATAAACACAGAACGCGACTAGTGTTTAGCCACGTTTAACGGTTTTTTTTTTTTTTGGTCAAACCTGATTATTCTGCTTTTAGAAGAGGAATGTTTCACTGCCCCTACCCACATGGAAGAAAAATATATTTGAAAAATATTTTTAAAATATTCTTCCCAAATATATTGACATATATTTGAAATACTACAATTTTGGCCATATTTAATATATTTCAATAAATGTAATGAAATATTCATTATTCATTTGGGAGATTAGAGAGCGCCACCTGATGGGTGAAAAAGTAAATCATGACTTTTTTCAAATGTAATATTTCATGTTTACCTAATAAAAAATGCAAATTTAATAACACATTCTTTAGTATGAAACAAAGGGTGATTAACCACTTGCCGACCCCTACGTCGTGACTTTCTTCGGTGTACCCGGAAACTATATTTGCCATTCGCTGCAGCCCAGGATTTATGGCCGGAATCCACTGATCGGCTCAGGGAATTACAGAAGAGAGCCCTGTGTTGGTAAACAACACAGGGCTCTCTACAGACAGCAGCAATGTACCTCTTCTTTTCTTTTTTCTTTTTCCTCCCTGCAAAGCAGGGAGTAAAAACCAGCATATAGCTAGCTATGTTATACATAGTAAACATTGCTAGGCACACAGTTAACTCCTTGCTTGCCCCTAAATGTTAACCCTTTCCCAGCCAGTGTCATTAGTACAGTGACCGTGTGTATTATTAGCACTGATCTCTGTATTACTGTCACTGGTGATGTCAATGGCAGTTAGTCAGTTCCCCCACCAGCATCAGTGTCAGATTGCCCATTATAACAGTCCCACTATAAACCAATGATCACCGCCAATCAATATACACTTATTCCGATTTTTTTTTTTTTTTTTTTTTTTATACCAAAGACATGTCGTGGAAAACATTTTGGCTCTAAATTTATGAAAACATTTTTTTTTTCATTGGATATGTTTTTTAGGAGAAAGTAGAAAATATTGTTTTGGTTTTTTTTCCCAAAATGTTGGCTCTTCTTTCATTTATATCGCAAAAAAAAAAAATACCACCAAAGGAAATCTCTATTTATGTGAAAAAAATGATAGAAATTTTATTTGGGTACAGCATTGCATGACCGAGCATTTGACAATGTATAATAAAAACCTCCTGCGCTCAAAAGTGAATGTAGCTCTTTAACCATTAGCTGCCCGGCCTATAGCCGTTTGGCGGCGGCAAAAATGCTTCACCATTCCGGGTGCACGCCATTTGGTGTGCTCCCGCGCATGCGCAGTTCACGCGGTTGCAGAGCCGCGCAGCGGCGCGATCTGTCACCGGCCGTGTACCTCGGACACGGCCGATGACAGATCTGAGTACCGGCCCCCGTTGCCAGTGCCATGTGACCTGCTGTGACCAATCACTGCAGGTCACATGACAGTTGTATACAATGGATGGCTTCATTCATGCCATCCATTGTATACTAGTGCCTAGCTGTGAATGGTCACAGCAGGTCACATGCACATGTCATGTGATTAGCTGTGGTCAAATCACAGCTAAGCAAAAAAAAAAAAAAAAACAGAATGAATCGATTTCATTCTGGTAAATGCTTGCTTATAGCAAAGTAATTCTTTGCTCTAAGCAAATTGTGTAAAAAAAAAAATACTGATCACTTCTCCAAAGTAGTACAATGTTACTATGGTAACATTGTACTACTTTGGTCATCATAAAATATGAAAAAAAAATCTTAAAAACAAAATGTAATAAAAAATTAAAAAAATAATAAAAAATAAAATATATATATATATATTTTTTTTCATACTGTCACCAGTCAGTGTCCCTGATCACCGCCATGCCAGTTATATGATGACGCTGTACTGCACTGGTGACAGGATGTAAAAAAAAAATAGTGAAAATAATTTTTTTACTTTTTTAATTTTCCGAAAAAATTATGACAAAAAAATACAACTCGCCATTCCTCTTATGAAGTACGTCGGACTGTCTTCTGCAAAAAGGGGTCATTTGGGGGATATCTGTACCGTCCTGACATTTGGGGGATATCTGTACCGTCCTGACATTTGGGGGATATCTGCACCGTTCTGACATTTGGGTGATATCTGTACCGTCCTGACATTTGGGGGATATCTGTACCGTCCTGACATTTGGGGGATATCTGTACTGTTCTGACATTTGGGGGATATCTGTACCGTCCTGACATTTGGGGGATATCTGTACTGTTCTGACATTTGGGGGATATCTGTACCGTCCTGACATTTGGGGGATATCTGTACCGTCCTTACATTTGGGGGATATCTGTACCGTCCTGACATTTGGGGGATATCTGTACCGTCCTGAAATTTGGGGGATATCTGTACCGTTCTGACATTTGGGGGATATCTGTACCGTCCTGACATTTGGGGGATATCTGTACCGTCCTGACATTTGGGGGATATCTGTACTGTTCTGACATTTGGGGGATATCTGTACTGTTCTGACATTTGGGGGATATCTGTACCGTTCTGACATTTGGGGGATATCTGTACCGTCCTGACATTTGGGGGATATCTGTACCGTTCTGACATTTGGGGGATATCTGTACCGCCCTGACATTTGGGGGATATCTGTACCGTCCTGACATTTGGGGGATATCTGTACCGCCCTGACATTTGGGGGATATCTGTACCGCCCTGACATTTGGGGGATATCTGTACTGTCCTGACATTTGGGGGGATAGCTGTACCGTCCTGACATTTGGGGATATCTGTACTGTTCTGACATTTGGGGGATATCTGTACTGTCCTGACATTTGGGGGATATCTGTACCGTCCTGACATTTGGGGGATATCTGTACCGTCCTGACATTTGGGGATATCTGTACTGTTCTGACATTTGGGGGATATCTGTACTGTTCTGACATTTGGGGGATATCTGTACCGTTCTGACATTTGGGGGATATCTGTACTGTTCTGACATTTGGGGGATATCTGTACTGTTCTGACATTTGGGGGATATCTGTACTGTCCTGACATTTGGGGGATATCTGTACTGTTCTGACATTCTTGGACCTCAAGAAATTAGATTGGCTGTCAGTACTTCAGGATTGATCAATATTCAGATCTATACCATAGTTTGTGAACTCTATAACTTTCCTACAAACTAAATAATACATCCTAATTTGGGTTATTTTCACCAAAGACATGTAGCAGAATACATCTCGGCCTAAATTTATGAAGAACAATTATTTATTTACAAACTTTTATAACAGAAACAAAGAAAAACGTGTTTTTTTTCCCAAATTTTCGGTCTTTTTTTGTTAATTTAGCAAAAAATAAAAACCCCAGCGGTGATTAAATACCACCAAAAGAAAGCTCTAGTTGTGTGAAGAAAATGATAAAATTTTAGTTTGGGTACAATGTTGTATGACCGCGCAATTGTCATTCAAAGTGTGAGAGCGCTGAAACCTGAAAAATGGCCTGGGCAGGAAGGGGTAAAATTGCCCCGTATGGAAATGGTTAAGGATAAGGCTGCTAACGCCTACACCCAGGGGCAGACTGACAACTCATGGGGCCCCCGGGCAATAGGGGATCGTGGGGCCCCTGTGTCCTTGCCCAAACTCAAAAAAGCCTATGAAAAAGGTACCAGGGGCATCTCATGGGGCCCCCTACTGACCCCGGGCCCTCGGGCAGTGCCCGAGTTTCCAAATGGTCAGTCCGCCCCTGCCTTATAAGATTTTCAGGTCTGATTATTGGGAGAGACTCATGATCAGGAGTTTGGAGTTGAAGAAATTGGGGGGAAAAAAGTGCAACTCTTAGAGACGCATTTAATTTCTCGGCCAGCATGCCTTCTATTACTCTCGCTGTCCGGTGTTGCAGGCAGCATCTGCTTCTCTTTATATGGATCCTGTGGGAGCTGGTTATATTAATTATAGCCAAAGGGGAGTTTGGAGCTGATCCTGACCTGGAAGGCTTACACGCATTTATCTGATGTCAGGTTTTTTCTGCTTTGGATGATACCACGAAGAGGAACCCATTCTTGGAGGGTCCAGGAGTGATCCCAAAATCTATTAGGCCCTTTTAGGATCACGGTAAGGAGGTGAGGAGCCAATTTAGCTATCTTTGGATTCATCACCAGAGGCTGCAATGCACAGGATCACCTGCATGTTTTAATCTTTGTGGAACACTGGTGTCACATTATTTTTGTTGGACTTTTTTTTCAGTACAACTCAACTTACAACATATTATATAGGGCATTTATATGTTCACTTTTTATTATTTTTTGAAGGGGGGGTGTTTATTGGAAGTATTGTATTTGCATACGTTGTTTGGAGTGTTTTTAGCACTTTTCTCACTATAATTGAAATACCTATCCCCCGGTGCTGGGATCACATTTGTGTCACTATTTATTTTTCTGATCGTCAAGTTATTTTTTTATCATTAATCTCAATGAGATTTGAGACATTCAGCACTTTATTGCACAGTGGCTAAATGGTTAGCACTTCCGCCTGGCAGTACTCGGGTCGTTGGTTCAAATCCCAACCACGGCACCACCTGCCTGGAGTTTGCATGTTCTCCCTGTGCCTGCGTGGGTTTCCTCTGGGTACTCCGGTTTCCTTCCACACTCCATAGACATGCTGGTAGGTT